GGGGGGGGGGGGCAAAAATTTTTTAGTAATGTTTTAATGTAGTTTTAATTTACTGTAGCGTATTTGTATGGTGAACGAACGGACAGGAAATCAGCTTAGTTACTTTCTCTTTATTTTCTCTTTACTTTAATACATTTTTTGTCTATTTTTGTCTAAAAAAATTTATCCAATCAATCCAGGGGGGGGGGGCAAGTACCCCCTTACCCCCCCCTGCGGGCGCCCATGGTAGCAGGTGCTAATTTCTTACGCTCAAGTGGGCATTGTCGGTGCTGTTGAACATTTTTTTTCAACATGACTTGTGATGCAAAATAGATGTTACAGATTGTTCAAATCCGTTCAAGCAGCGATGTTATTATTGTTACTCACTTTACTTTCCCCTAATTCTCAAAATTTCATATTCCTACTCTATATCATTTATCTTGAGCGCACATGAGTCTTGAACCTTATCCTTGTTCCATACCTGCAACATGATCGCACTTAGCCATTTTGTGTCAAACAGAATCTACAGATGAAGAGAGGCCAACTTTTGACTTCTCTCGCACTAACAAAGTGTGCTAACATTCTGACCAGCCATCAGCAGTGTGCTAACATTCTGACCAGCCATCAGCAGTGTGCTAACATTCTGACCAGCCATCAGCAGTGTGCTAACATTCTGACCAGCCATCAGCAGTGTGCTAACATTCTGACCAGCCATCAGCAGTGTGCTAACATTCTGACCAGCCATCAGCAGTGTGCTAACATTCTGACCAGCCATCAGCAGTGTGCTAACATTCTGACCAGCCATCAGCAGTGTGCTAACATTCTGACCAGCCATCAGCAGTGTGCTAACATTCTGACCAGCCATCAGCAGTGTGCTAACATTCTGACCAGCCATCAGCAGTGTGCTAACATTCTGACCAGCCATCAGCAGTGTGCTAACATTCTGACCAGNTGTCAACAACTGTCAAACATTTCCCACCCCCCCCCCCCTATTTTGTTGAAATAATTATTGGACGCTACCGTCGTAGCAGAGAAAGAATCCACGTGCCATGTATCAGAGCCACTACAGCGATTGCCCAGTTGTGTCAATATATAGGACACATATCCACCATCGGTCCACCACCACATATGTACAAACTATATTGACAAAACTAGATTACCCCCTCTACTATCAACGGGCACAATTTATATTACCTCTTTATCAATAGGCCAAAACTAGATGACCTCTCTATCCATGGGTCAAATTAAGATTACATGTCTATCCATGGGCCTAAACTAACTCTCTAGTCATGAGAAAAAACAAGATTACCTCTCCGTTCCTAGGTCAAAACAAGATTACCTTTCCATCGTTAGGTCAAAACAAGATTACCTCTCTTTCCATGGAACAAAAGAAGATTGCCTCTGTATCCATAGGACAAAACAAGACCACCTCTGTATCCATAGGACAAATCAAGGTTATATCTCTGCCCACTTTAAAAAATGAACAATATTATTCCTCTACCCATGAGCCAAAACAATATTACTTTCTTACTTTCCACCTATCATTATCCTAAGACAACATTCTAAATAATATGGGAAAAAAGTAAATTAAGTAGAATAAAGACAGACTATAAATAGGCATGAAAGAAGCTTTATGTAACGTACTGTTCCCCCCTCCATTAAACGAACTTGAACTGTAGATAACTGAGTCAATATTTTTAATGTATCGTACGGTGCAGCACATTTATCCCGTCGTTTCGAAAGCTAATATCTAAGCTGATCTTTTAGTAATAGTTGTTGGCCTTTTTGCATAGGCCACATGTTCATATTGATATCTGTCATGTTTACAGAAACATCATCTCAGATATTCGTCTATCAAAGTTAAACGCATTCGAAGTCTGCCATTTTCACATTGAATTGTGCATACAATGTTCATGTTTTTAGTAGGGATCTAGATTAGCAGTCCGAGAACCTCTCTGACGCAGATCTTTCGTTAAGAAAAGTGCATCGATTTCAAGGGAGAAAACTGTCATTTTTGAAGGGTAATAAGATAGACAACCCGCTTAACACTCCAAGTCATTTATCTCCCATGTCATGTTCCAATGACCATAATAATGGCATCTGAACG